TCTGCACTCCCACCAACAATGGAGAAGGGTTCCTTTCTCCCCACACCCCTGCCAGCATTTGTTATTAGATGATTTCTTGATAGCAGCTACTCTTTCTGGGGTGAGGTGGCATCTCAGTGTTGTTTTCATCTCCATCTCTCGAATAACCAGTGATGTTGAACATTTTTGCATATGTTTATTTGCTGCTTTTGCTTCTTTGTCTGAGAAATGTCTGTTCATTTCGGATGCCCAGCTTTGAATTGGGAGACAGGTGAACTGTTAAGTAGGCAGGTTAAACCTCTGTGTGTCTTACCTGTCTTCACCTTCTGGAGGGAGGGTTTCACGTGGCTGAGACTTTGTTATTCACTGCTGTGTCCCCACACAGTACATAGTAGGTGCCAAGTGTGTCCTTGCTGAGTGAGCGCACTTGGGGCACTGCTGTAGCTGGGAGTGGCGAGGGGCCATCTCTGGCCATCACGTCCAGAACTTCACTGTCAGCTGATCCCATGTACCGGTTTGTGTGTTGTATTTTGGGTTTCCCAGGGTGAGGGGTGGCATGACCTTGGTGGCACTTGAGTACTTGAGGGCTGATGCACTGCTCTAGAGGGTCACCGGAAGCAGGTGTTATCCAGTCCTACAGAAGTAGCCACCTTGACGGTGCCTGCCCAGGGCTTCTGTCACATGGTATGCCAGGCACCGTGTCTGTCCCCATGCTGGGCCATCATAACCTGGCTATGGTTGCCCGCAGGCCGGGCACTGTGCTGAGCTTGTCATCCACGTTGCCTCAGATCAGCCTGATGAGCAGCCACTCTGCTCTTCTCATCTTGGAGGCCTCAGAGGCTCAGAGAGGGGAAGCACAGTGTGGGGTGGAGCTGCCCCCAGCCCATTTGTACCCAGAGCCCAATGTTCTACAGGGCTCACAGGGCCTACACGTGGCAGGCAATAGGAGTGTGGTGTCCTCAGGGCTGGAGTTGACTGTCCCTTCATGGGGGTCACTGCTGCAGGGATGCTGGAAGTGGACAGGGTGGGGGGTGAGATTAACCGTGAGACTCCTCCCCCCGTGAAGGAACCAGCCCAGGTGACATGGGATGGCCAGAGTCTGAGCTGGTCTAGGCTCTGCCAAAGCCCTGACCGAAGGGCAGGGGACGAGTCCCCAAGGAGGAAGGATATGTCCCTGGGGAACCCTGGTGACCACTCACAAGGAGCACTGATGACTCTGCAGAGTGGGCTGACCAAGTTTAAATCTAGCTGTCTGTCCTCTCATTGCCGAAAGGGCCAGACCTAGAGGTGGGTGGGGCTTCTCCCAGCCATACTGCGATCTCAGGTGCCTGGCACCTGCTGGTCCCCAAGTCAGCGTTTCTACCATGGGAATGGGTGAGTGCTAAGAACATGGGGCTCTGGGTGTGTCTCCACTTCGACTCAAAAGGCCCCGGCTCCCTGCAGCTGCCTTTGGGCTCCCATGGTCCTTTCTCCAGGAATAAGCACAAGGGTCCTTTACAGCTCCGGCTGCTCCTCTGTCCTGGTGGGGTCCCCGTCCCCTCCCCTGGAGGCCAGCTAGGCTTGGCACCCAAGCCATCACATCGCAGGGCACCCAAGGCTGGCCTGAAAGGGGCTCAGCTTAGCTGTGAGGAAGCAGCCTGGCTGGGGAGTGGTGCCCACCCAGCCCCATAGCGCAGTGCTGGCACCAGTGCTGACTGCATCTGTGAGCTCTTGCTGAGCCCTTCATGAGTTCACAGTGTGCAGAAATCTTGACAGATAGCTACTACATTGCATTCCCCGCCCAAAGCCCTCCAGTGGCTTCACCCATAAAACTCAGATCCCATGCTTTGGTCTCAAAGCCCTGCAATCTGCCTCACAGCCCAGGCTCTCCAGCCCATAACTTCCTTCGGTGCCATCTCCTTTCACCAGGCTGGTTCCTGCCTCAGGGCTTTTGCACTTGGTATTGCTAATCTGCCTAGAAAGTGTGGCCTAGATCTTACCGAACCAGCTCCTTCTCCTTCTCTGAGTCTCCCTTCTCAGACACCTGAAATGGCACACACTTGTCATTCAGTTCATTGTTTCCTGGAGACTGAGCTCCATGAAGGTCTGTTGCTAGGTTGTGACCCGTGCTTAGCCCACCACACAGCATATATCTGTTGCACGAATGCTGGCTGTCACAGAAGAGGGAAGTGAGTTTCTAAGAGGCTAAGAAGCGTGCTGAGGTCACACAGGGCTCAGGATGGGGAGGGCAGGGCCATGTAGACAGGGCAGGTGGCCTGTATGCTTATCCCCCACTTGAGGTTCCCAGGGTTCGCTGTCTCCCTGGTATCCCAGTCTGGTTGGCTTTACTGTGCAGCTATGCACTCTAGGTGTTAAGATTAGCACTGTCCTATAGAAATATATGTGAGCTACATGTCATTTTAAATGTTTTAAAAGCTGGGTATGGTGGTGCCCACCTGTGATCCTAGTTATTTGGGTGGCTGAAGCTAAAGGATCACAAATTTGAGGCCAGCATGGGCAACTCAGGGATACCCTATCTCAAAATAAAAATTTAAAAAGGACTGGGGATGTAGCTCAGCACTGTCTGGGTTCAATTCCCAGTACTGCCAAAACGAATAAATAAATAAATAAATAAACAAAGTAATAACAAACAAGTCAAATGAATTGTAATCATATTGTTTATTTAACTTAATATATCCAAACTGTCCTCATTACAACCTGTAATTAGCATAAAAATTACTAATGAGAAATTTTATTCTCGACCTTTGCACTAAGTTAAAGTCTATGTTCTGACCAGCTATTTAAATGCCTGTCGATACACCTCACTGGTGCTCCTGTCCTGGACAGGACCTAGGCTCTTTAACTTTATTTGTGAAGCCACCAAATGTCCCTTAACATAGGTCTTTCATTCAAAAAATATTCACAAGACGATTGTAGGCTTGTGTGCTATTTTAAACTTCACTTCTGTTTGTGTATTTTAAACAAGAAAATAAAAAAACTTAATAGGGAGTGAAAAACAACATTGAAAGTGCCTTCCCACCCTGCTGGCAGCTTATCTCCCCTTCTGGGGAGCCTGAACTGGAAAGGCCTGATCCTTAGCCTCGGGCCAGAGATAATAACTTAATTAACGCCTGCACTAGGCACGTTTGATCTTCAAGGAGCTGGCCCACATGGCTAAACTGCTTATGGATTAATTGTGCAGAACTAAGAAAGCCTTGCCCAGAGATAAAGGGATGGTATTTCGTCACTACAAATTGTCCTGAAATCTGCTCTGGCACTGGGGCCGGAGCCTGGACTCAGCATCCAGCTGGCTTCACCCGAACAGCAGGCCAGTGTCACACTGGCAAGGGTTCCAGGCCTCTAGGTGTGTGCCAGGGCTTCTCCTTGGACGGAGGAGCTAGGCTGCCATGGACATCTCCCTGCACGGTGACAGCTATTAGTCCCCCATTTTCCAGATGAGGGAACTGAGGCAGGGGAACTAGGGCAGGCTAGGGAGAAATTACAGCAATGAGGCCAAGGTCAAGTGAAAACTTGGATATCCCTCCTCTCCTCTACCCAGCAGCTTGGGATGGGCTCTGGTGGGTCAGCTCACCAGAGGGGACAACATCTGCCTTCACAGTCCTGGCCATAACCCCTAGGTACGATGATGCAGTTACCTTGCCACACCAGGAATTCCAATTTTGGTACTCATGGAAGATCCTGGGGTGGGAGTCTTACAAGCCTGTGAATGGCCCTCCTCCAGAGGGGTCTCAGTATATGTTTTAGGTTTGCTAAGTGTGTGGGAAATGAAACTGTGCAGGGAAAGAGCTTGGTACCAGCCTGGCACAACCCAGGCGCGGAGCAAGCATTAGTCATTACTACTAAAATAACAACAATGACCCCAATAATTGTGCACCTACTAGTGGCAAGTCCTGGAAAGGGCACTGGTCATGCCAGTGTGAGTGGGGATGGATTAGGGTTGGTTTTAAGGTGAAGTGGGGCTACCTACATAGGCACAAAGCACTGGGTTCTGGAGGAAACCAGCAAGATGCAGCCCCGGGCCAGTCGCCGCAGATGCCTGGGCCCCCTTTCGGCCCACTTGGTGCACCTGACACCTTAATTATGCGCCCCCCGGGCAGGTCAGGTTGTGCGTAAGAGCCTGAGGTCTGCCGGAAGCGCGGGCTCCCGGGGCGACAGGACACCCTGCCACCAGGTGCAACTTCTCTCCCACCAGTACGTCCTTCCCGCCGCCCCGAGCTCCTCGCTGCGCCCGCTCTTTCCGCCTGGGGCCCTCTGGCTGACCTCCGGCGCCCACAGTCTCCCGGACGCGCGTCCGCGGATAGGGCCAAACTTTTTCCGCCGGCAGCGCATGGGCGCGATTTTTCCGGCACCAAGCCGGCCGTCGGCCTCAGAGTCCCCGCCGGTACAGCAAGGGCCTGGGCGGGGATGCCCCTCGGAGCCGGAGTGCCGCGCCCACGCGCTCGGGCAGCAGCACCCACGCCTCCTCCGACTCCAAAGTATATTTAGCCTCATTATCAAATGTTTGCAGTGAACCGTGTGAACCGCCTAATAGCGGCTGGAAGTGAAACTCGACTCCCAGCCAGAAGGAAGCATGTGATCCCTTCCACCCGCTGGGATCACGTCGGGTAGGGTGGGACAGGTGCTGCGGCCCCCGCGCGCGGGCCCGGGTGGCTCTGCTCGCACCTCTCCATTCGCGGCTCCAAACCTGAACACCTCTTCTCACACAGCCTCCCCCTACAGGGGCTGAAATGAGGAGTCTGGAGTTAGACTGGGAGGAAGGGGAAGAGGGAGGAGGAGGAGGCCCACGCGGCGTGGTTCTCATCCAGGCCTGTGGTCTCTGGGAGAAGGCTGACCTACCGAGTCTATTTCCAGTTCGCAGAAAGAGTTGTCTAGGGTTCACTTTTTCCCGGGCCTGGGGGAGGGGGGCTTTGGGGGAAGGTCGTGGTCCCTGTCCCAAGCAGGGCGCCCAGGGGCTTGAGGACGCGAGTGCCCGAGCGCCCCCCCCCCCAGCGTCGTCTGTCGCGCCGCCGCCCAAGTTCTCACCACCCTCGGGCGGTCGCTGTTGTTGTGGTCGCCATGGCGACGGGTCGGTTTTATTTTTAATAGCTGCCAGCGATACGAGAGATGCCTGCGCCGCACGCCCCGAAGCTCCCGAGTCCCGGGGTGATGTGCCCAGGCTCCGCCTGGCTCTGGCCCCAGGCTCCCGCCCTGGGAGCCCCTTTCCGTGTCCCCGGATCTTCCCCACCCGCCTTGAACTCCAGCTGGGCGCCCCTATAGCGCCAGGAGGGTAAGGTGGGCAGAGCGAAGCAGAGTCCAGGCGGGGTCCCAGGAACCCTCGGCTCCATGCGGGGGTTGGGGCCGGGAGGACGCGCCGGTATCCTGTCCGAAATGCAACGCGACCTTCCTCCCAGATTCCCACGTCCGCTGTCACACGGGGTCCTTGAACCCCAAGGAGGTGTCCTCGCGTCCCCTCTGCCCGCGAGGAGTCCGAGGCCGAGCGGGTCATGATTCGCACAACTCCCAGGATAAGAAGGCGAGGGCTCGACCGGGGGCCGCCTTCCAGAAAGCCCCTCCAGAGCACCAGGAGGCTCCACCCGGACAGACGGCCGGGCTTTCAGGTGCTTCTCCACCTTTCCAAGTTTCCCCTGCTCTGCGTGGTCCTCCTTCCTGACCACCCGAGGGGTAGCGGCGGGGACTGCCGGCATGCGGAGGCCTGTGGATCTGCGTGTAGACGCGGGCCCTCCGGGAACCGCAGGAGAGGACCCGCCCCAGGTATTTGGGGGCAGGTGAGCCCCTGGAGCGCCCTCCCGACTCCGCCTTTGAAATGCCATCGGCCGAGCTTGAGAGTAAAGGCCCTCGCGGGGTTGCGCCTTTGTCCGGAGGGTGGGCGGGAGTGGCGCGAGGTGAGAGGGCGGTGTTAATTCACGAAACGGGGTTGAAGCTGGGTGGGCGGAATTTTCGGAACCCCACCCACCCACCGGGCATCTCCTAGTCCCTAGGGGCCTAGGCCGTCTAGCTTTGGGGTCGACAAGACGCCATCACCCCCCCCCCCACCGCAGCCTACCTACCTCCCTGAAGGAGGGCACTTGGGCTAGCCGTCGGGTGTGATCCCACCTGTCTAGGCGGGTGCAACCCACCGAGACCCGCGGACCTCTTTTAGAGGTGGCGGAGAGAGCCGTCCAGTCCCGCTCAGACTCGGGTCTGCGCCTGTCCCCCCCCCCCACACCGTCGCGCTCGGTGCTGCGCCTTGGCCGGAGGTGGCGCTCTGTGCGCCCCGCGGATTCCGACGCAGAACCCAAGGGTTCCTCAAGAGCCGCTCTTTTTCCTTCGTTCCATCCAGTCCCAGTTCCCGGCTCAGGACGCGGCCTGGCACTTTACGAGGGAGCGGGGACTTGGCCCGGGGTCTCAGGGTGGGCATGAGGCAGGCTGCAGGCCCCCTCTCGGATCTGGGTTCCTTCCCACCTCGAAATGTGGGTGGAGGCTCCTCAAGCAGGTGCCCCAGGCTTCGGATCTTGGGCGGGGGCGCGTGGCAGCCGCCAGGTGAGTGCCCCAGACGCGCCCCTAAACCCGCCCCACCTCTCCTCAGAGACTCACCCCCCTCCTTTTATGGAGAGGGGAAGGCAAGGGCCCTGGATCCCAGCGGTGGAACGCGTCCGAGCGCCTCGCCGGGCGGGGGCCGGGCCGGCTCTCATGCCCTTTTTGGCGCAGCGGCCCTGGGTGCTGCCCTCTGCAGCCGCCGAGGCCCGAGAGAGGCGAGTCGCCGGCGGCAGCGCTTCTGCGGCGGCCTCCTCCCCTCCCCGCCCGGTGCCGCAGAATTGCAGCTGGCACAGGAGGGTGGGCAAGCTCGAGGGAGGGGCGCGTGGAGAGCCCTGGCGCCGAGTGTCGGAGCCGGGCGCCCGGCTCTGATGGATCTCGCTGCCCGCGTGAGCGCGTGTGTGGTCACTGCAGCAGCGGCTGTAGCCGACCCGGCCCAGCCCGCACGACCCCCTCGGGCTTCCGAGGTGCGGGTCCCGGGCCCGGAATCCGAGGGAGGCGGGGGCGGGGGCGGGGGAGGGGCGCGGCGGCGACGCTATAACCCCCTCTCCGCGGCCCGCGGGCTCCACACGCGCGTCCTGCGGAGCCACACAACTCCAGCGAGTCGGGCCTGCCAGAGCTGCCACCTCCTCCTCCTCTCCCCGCGGCGGCGGCGCCGGCTCGGCCCTACGCCCGCCCGGCCCTGCGCCCGCCCTCAGGCCCGCGCGGGCGGTGCAGAGAGGCCCCGGGCTCTGCCCGGCCCTGGCTGGTGGAGGGCGGAGCGCCGCGCGTAGCGGAGGGCGCGCCGCGGAGGGGCGCACGCAGGCCGCCGGCCGCGCCGAGCTGGGCCGCGCTGTGCCCGGCCGGGCAGCGGCGGCAGCGGATAGAGGAGGCCGGAGGCGCACACAGGCCGGTGGTGGCCCGCAGCCCGCAGGGAGCGCGCGAGCCGGCGCCAGGGCCCAGCCTGGCGCCCAGACAGGTGATCGGCGGTGCGGCCGTGGCTCCGGCCTCGCTCCGGGGTCCTTCCCAGCGCTGATGCCCACAAATATGCGGAATTACCGGCCGGGTCGCTCCTAAAGCCAGCGCCGGGGAGCGAGCGCGGCGGTGGCCAGCACGGGAACGCACCAAGGAAGAAGCCCAGCCCCCGCCCTCCGCCCCTTCCGTCCCCACCCCCTACCCGGCGGCCCAGGAGGCTCCCGGCGCGGCGGGCGCGCACTCCCCAGCCTCCTCCTCCTCGCGGGCGCCGCACTCGCAGCTCGCGCCGGGCGCGCTCCGCCGGCTCCCTCTCCGCGCCGCCCTCCTCCGGGCCGCGCTCCCTGAGGGATGGTACTGAATCTCGCCGCCACAGGAGCCCGGCTGGAGCGTCCGCCCCGCGGCCTCGACTCCCCGCCGAGCCGCCAGCGCCTTGGGACGCGATGAGGACTTGGGCTTGCTTGCTGCTCCTCGCCTGCGGATACCTCGCCCATGCCCTGGCCGAGGTGGGTGCCACCCCCTGCGCCCCAGCCCCTTCCCGGCTTCTCGGGCGCACGTCCCCCACGGCCGCCTGCGGGCCGGGGCACCCCAGGTTCTGCAAGGAACGTTTGATTTCTGGTGGAGGTGGTCTGTTTTTAAATTCTTCCAACTGGGTTCTATTTTCTGCCGTGCCCAAGTGTGTCTGGTGAGTTTCCAGCGTGTTACGTCGCTCTGCCTCGGAGGGACGGGGGAGCGGCGAGGCGGACAAGTGGGGAGAAAACTTCGCGGGGCTCGGGCGCCCCCCCCCCGGGGGAGGGGCAGCTGGGGCGCGGTGGGGAAGGGGGTGTGCGTGAGCCTGCAGCACTCTGAGCGGGCAGCGGGGCTGCGGCGGAAGCCCAGGGTGGGCAGCGCCGCGCCGCAGCCCGGATTCTTGGTCTCGGATCCCGGCTGGGCGCCGGGCTGGCGCACTCGCGCCCGCCCTGGGCCTGCTTACAGGTGGCTGAGCGAGGCAGCTGGGGCCGGGCCTGTGCCCGCGCCCTCCCACCGCCGGCGTCCCCACCCCCCACCCCGAGTCCTCGGGAGCTTAGCTGTGATGAATGACTTTCCACAGCCTCTGTCGTGGGAACTTAGTGCTTGATCCCCTTCGGCGACCCCCTACTCCTTCTAAAAACGTGGAGGGAGAAGGGGGAGGCAGAGTGGTGTGATGGGGTGGGCTGGGCAGGCACGGGAGAGCCGCGAGGTGGATATTTAACCCTATCTTGCCCTGCAGCCTTCCCCAGGCGCCGGCTGGTTTTGGGTGTCCTAGTCGGCGCTAGGGCCGCGGCCGGAGTGGGGCGCGCACGCGTGCCTGTGTGGCTAGGGGAGACGCTCTCCTCCGCGGGCTCCGCCGGGATTCTGGGGCCTGAAATTTAAGCCCCTGGCTAGATTAATGTGTTGGGGCTGCCGAGACTTTCGTCGTCGACCCGTGACGCATTTCAACTGGCTTTTTCTAGATGTCGGTCTCACTGTTAAACCAGAAACTCTTGGGCCCCTCGCCGGCCCCAGACCCCCGTAACTGACACCCACAGGGCTGGGCTGGCTTTCGGCGGGGTGGGGGTGGGGGACTTTTGTTCGGATGCTTAAAAGCGGGGTGGGTCTGCTGTTGCAGAGGGTGGACAAGGATGGTGGGGTCTCACCACCCCGGGGCGCTGACAGTGTGGTCTGCTTGCAGGAAGCTGAGATCCCCCGGGAGCTGATCGAGCGGCTGGCTCGAAGTCAGATCCACAGCATCCGGGACCTCCAGCGACTCCTGGAGATAGACTCCGTAGGTAAATCGCGCCCCTGCCCTTGGGGAGGGCGCGGGCGGCTGGCTGGGCGGGCGGGGAGTGAGTGTGGCCAGTTGTGCCCCGCGCGCGGCCGGGCCAGGCGCTGCGCAGGAGCGCACCGAAAGGTCAGAATCCACTCCCAGGCCATAAACGCCCAGGCGCATGAGTCAGGCGTTTCTCTTCCAGTCGCCACTTTCTCTCCCAGTGGCGGCTGAGGGTTGCTCGCTCGCCCCGGGAATGTTTTCTTCGCGTTTGAGGGAAACGCCGTGTGTGTCACAGAAAGTCCAGCAGCATAGAGGGCGCCAGGGCCAGGGCCAGGTGTGTGTCTGAGATGCGCGAGTGTGCGCTGGGCGGTCCTCCTGGCGAGGGCCGGAGGGCGAGCGCCGACCTGGCCGGACTGGCCCCTTTGTCAGGGGAGTGGGCTGGTGTGCTCCCTGAGGGGTTGGGCCTCTGTGGCCGCAAGGCCCCTTTCCAGGAGCCAATAAAAAGGCGCGTCTTGGACACATTTGCTGGGGCCTCTTTTGGGGGCTCACCCTCGGAGCCTGGATCTGAGCCACTTTAGAAAGCAGTTTATTTGTAAATACTGAGCTTTGAAGCCGTGTTGGACTAGATCTAGGTAGCGAGGGTTAGAGGGGTTTCTGCGCTGGTGTTGGGGGGCTGTACGCCCTGAGGGCTGGAGAAAGAGATCCCCACATCTTTGTGGCGCCCTTTTCCAAATTGACACTTGACCTGGGGAACTCGAGTGCTGACCTGGAAGATAATGCCTGTGGGGAAATTTCTTCCTGGCTTGAAAGAGATTGGAGATGGACTTGTCGGAGTAAGGAAAGACAGCTGAAGTGAAGGATTTTAAGTGAAATGAAGATTTCTCTCTCCCTGCAAAGTACTTGGAAAAGGGGGGCGGTGGAGGAATTAAGTAAAATCACATGGTCTAGTCATTTGGAAATTTGTACCTAATTATGGTGGTGGAGAGGCCTGCGCTGTTTTCATTCCATGCCAAAACCGTTTTCTAACAAGGCTGTGGGTTCTGCAGTTCCTTGACCCAGGAAATCCTTTGCCTGATCCTTATCTGGAGTAGGGTAGGGTTTCACTTGGAGATCTGAGCTGGGCCAGGGGGAATTTTGATCTAGTTTCTTGATGTGAAAGCCCGGGGCAAAGGATTTGGCTTGGGTAGCTGGGGAAAACACTCTGGCTTTTGCTGGTCCCTGATGGATTTGGAGACTTGGGGCAACTGCCTCCCAAAAAGTGGCTTGGCTGGGTTAGGCCTTGGAGGGCTGGGCCTCCTTCCTGGGGGCACCATAGTGCATGGAAATGGGCCATTCACTTTCTGCCAGGACCATTCTTATTCTGCTCTCTGCAGCCCCACCTCTCCACCCCCCACCCCCCACCCATTAACATTTTAGCAGTGCTGTTCTGTGGGGTTTGCTGACTGCATTCCTGACCTGGGGGCTTCTGGGCTGGGCCTAGCAAGGGTACACCTCCCGTCCTAGCAGGTTTCGGGTTGCCTGTGAGTGTGTGTGTGGAGGTGGGTTGGACACTGTCCCTGCAGTCTGCCAAGTGTGGAGGGAGGTGGAGATCCCAGTCGTGTCCACATGTCAGATGTTTTGGGATCTGAATAGGATTTGCTCAGTGCCCTGGAAACAGTGATAGCACCCCCCATTCCCCACCCTGTGCCTCAGTTTGGAGCTGGGAACCTTTGGGGACAGAAACTCCAAAGTGAGTCTTCTTCCTCCTGGTGCAGTACCCTAAGTTGTGGAAACTAAGAACAAGGAGGTCCCATCTGGCCTCAGGACAAGGGTGGCTCCTGCGCTCCTCTTCCTACCTGAAATGAGGAGCCCATTGCTGCAGGCTGCTGGAGCAGGTTGGAAGTGGCTGTGGTGGTCCAGACTCAGATAGAGCCTCTAGCCCAGCCCTGGCCTCCCTTCTAGGTCCAGTCAGAGGCATGCCTGGCCTGTTGGGAGCACTCTGGTCTGGCAGGAGCCCATGACACTGTAGGGGAAGGACTGACGGAGAAGAGGCAGGGTGCTGGGGTAATCCAGAGTGACTAACCCTGCTGCAGTCTCCTCCAGAAAGACTCTGGGTACAGGGAAGGTTACGGGGTGCAGGAAGGAGGCCTTGGGGTGTCCCAGGCCCCAACTGATGTCTCCCTTGAGTGGGTTGGGGCTTTGTGCCTGGCACGTGGCGGCCCCATCGCCACCGTGCAGATGGAACCCTCTTAACCCTGCCCCTCCTGGGTGTGTGGTGAGCCCTGGAGGTGTGCACATTCCAGTATGTGTTGGGAATGTGGTGAGCCCGGAGCAATGCGAGTATGCTCGAGAGAGGAGAGTGATGCCAGTGGGTTTCCGGGGCTGCTGGGCTCAGAGAGCAGCGTGGGTCTTGGGGTAGGTAACCAGCAGCCAGCTGTAGAGTTGGGTCCTGTTTGTCCTGTGTGGTGTAGCGGCGGGAGCTTTGTTATCCTGGAGCCGGCTGGCCAGGCGCCCTGGGTCATTGAGTAACTGATACATAAACATCCCAGCCACTCAGCCACTCAAGCAGCCGACCAGGACAGAGCTGGAGGAGTTTCCCTTGCCTTGCACGAAATCTGTGCATAAAGACAAAAGGGAAACTGCCTGATTAGTTGTCCTGAGAGAGTTTGAAGAGTGCTTCCTGCTGTGCCACCTCAGATCAGTCTTGATCTTCTGAGTTCCTGCCTGGGTGGGGTTCTTCTCACCCAGTGCAAATGAGAAGAGCTCCTTGGAGCCTAGGTTGGCTTTTGGTCTGTGACCACCCATCTTGGGTGCAAGTGTGGGCTGTTTGATTAGGAGCTGTTCCCACTCCGTCTTGTCTAAAGAAGTCTGCTGAATTGGCCATCAGCAGCACTGATGAGCTGTCAGAGCTGTGTCCCCTCTGGGCATTGAGCTGAGCCAAGAGGCCTGAGGTTGGGGCCCCAGCACTTGGACACTGGGCTGGTCGGTCCCTTCCTCAGCCATCTGACCCTGGCCTGTTCATTTTTCTGGGCCTCATTTCCTCAGATGTGGATGGCGGGTAATGCCTGACCCCAGTAAGCCATTGGCCTGAGCAAGCTGCAGGAGGACCCATAGCTGATGCCTGTGCTAAATTTTACCTTGAAGCTGGACCCTTGGCTCTTTGGTTTGGCCATGGCAAGATGGCCACCACCAGGGCATGATTCACAATGACACTTTTCTGTAAAAAAAAATATATATATATATATATTCCTTGTAACGGTTGATGGGAAATTCTTATTGCATGAGTAGTTCTGATCTTATTTTGGGTCTCAAAAAAATCAGTGGTATTGAAACATTGGGTCACTTAAGTAAAAAGTCGAGTTCTGCTCAGACTTTGACATTCACACTATGTTGGGGAGTTTTGGTTTTCATTTCAAATGTGCTGGTCCAAGATGTGTCAGGGGAGCCGAGGAGCCCTAGTCTTCTCTTGCTGGTTTTCAGACTTGATGCCTGGGGCGTGGGGCAGGGCCAAAAAGACCTTGGGTTGCTTGTCCTGTGCCCTTGGGGCCTAGATCTGGGCTGGTGGCCGGGATGTCACTCATGCTTCTGGAGAAGGAAGGGAGCCCACAGGATGGGGATCTGGTGAATCTGTGAGTCTGGTCTGTTGGGCACATGTCCTTGTACTGTTTGTCCCTGAAAGCCGGATGGAGGAAGCAGAGGGGATGGGCAAGGAGGTGGGGTCTGGGCTGTGTTGAGCTGGTGGCTTCACGTGGCAGGTGGCAAGCTCTGTCTGTGTCCATCCCTACCCAGAAATCAGAAGGACCAGGGAATTGGGGCTGTGTACTGTAGCCCTCTCACTGTGCTAGGGCTGTGATGTCCTGGGGGTGGCTTTGGGTTATTGTCACACTTTCCCCCCCAGTGGTGGCCCTTGCTGCAGGGCATGGGTGCAGGTACAAAGAGGCTTCCTACTTTCCTTCCTGGGGCTGCCCCCTTCTCTCCAGGCACCCAGGGACACTGCTCAGGACACTGCTTAGGCCAGCAGCCACGCCTCCCTTTACACTGTCTCTGAGCAGCCACACCTCTTGCATTTTCTCATGGCCTCTGGCCCTCAGAGCAGGCTTATTTCAGGAACTGGTTGGGGCTGGCTTAAAGCCCAGTCTGGAGTTGCTTATGATGCCCCTCAGAGGTTAGGATGGATGCTCCACGGAGGCCTAGTTTATGGAGGAGGCGGGGCCTCTTGGTTCTGGGGTGATGGCCTTGGGCTTTTCCAGACCTGGTTCATTCCTCACTGATCTTCCTCAGAGGAGGCCACCCAGGGTCCCTTCCCCAGTAGATCTCAGCTCTGCCACAGGTGTGGCAGGAATTGCTTGATTCTGGGGACCTCTGTGTTGAGACATTTTTGGCCTGGTTTGGAGTGTTTCATCCTCTGCACGTCTGAAGAACCCCAGTGGGAATGTAGGGAGGGGGGGAGTAGGGACTGCCTTTGGGTGGGCTGAGAGCTTCCAGGGTCTTTGTCCCAAGGTGGCTCTGGCTCTGAGAGCTGATCTGCAGGACTATGCAGGTCTGGCTTGGGACACCACACAGGTGTGGACGGCTGGTCGCATGTTCTCTTTCTACCTGTAGGAACCGAGGATGCCTTGGAGACCAGCCTGAGAGCCCAGGTGCCCCATGCCACCAAACATGCTCCCGAGAAGCGGCCTGTGCCCATTCGGAGGAAGAGGAGCATCGGTGGGTCCAGGAGGCTTTGGTGGCAGGGCTGTAGGGGGTAGGCCAGGCTCCCCATAGCGGCCTCCAGCAAGCCACCGAACATCTCTCCCCAAACAAAGGCTGGGCCTGGCTCTGGCCTCCTGCCCTCTCTGGAGGCGCCCTCTGCCTCCACAATGTGCCTCCCGCCTGGCCTGCTCCTCATTGAGATGCAGCCTGGGCCAAGAGTTTCCAGGGAAGAGCTGTCATAAATTCCTTAAGTGCCCAGTCTTGTTGGGGCCTGTCTGCAAAGAGGCCTCATTCCAGTCCTAATGTAGAGTCCCAGCGTGCTCCCAGCTGGGGGCAGATAGGGGACCGGGTCCAATGGGCTCCTTCTTGGGGGTATCCGGTGGCCTCTTGGTGACTCTTGTGAGCAGGTCCCTGGGTGGCCTGGGGACTCAGACTGTGCCTATTCCCTGCCTTCCCAGCCTCTGCACCTCCAGGGACCACCTGTAGATCCTTGGGTTTTAGGGTCCAGGCTGGTTCTTCTGCTGGGGCCCTTGCCCAGCCTGCAAGAGCCTGTGTGTGGGGCGGGGGCGGGGGGGTTGGCCCTAAGCCTGGTCACCTGGGGTGGTGGGTGTGAAGAGTTCTGTGTGCTCACTGCAGTCTTGTTCTGCAGAGGAAGCCATTCCCGCGGTCTGCAAGACCAGGACAGTCATTTACGAGATACCTCGGAGCCAGGTGGACCCCACGTCTGCCAACTTCCTGATCTGGCCGCCGTGCGTGGAGGTGAAGCGCTGCACCGGCTGCTGCAACACCAGCAGCGTCAAGTGCCAGCCCTCGAGGGTCCACCACCGGAGTGTCAAGGTGAGCTGCCACTCAGCCACGGTGACCTCCAGATTGAGTGGGGCCGAGGTGTCCTGGCCCCTGAGTCATGAGGGACAGTCAGGCTGGTTCAGCTCCCTCTGAGCTGCTGGATGGAGGCTTCCAGCCCAGCTGTGGCTTGTAGGCAGGGTCTGCTTTCCTCTGGCCCCATGTGCCCTGCTCAGATGAGGGCTTCCTGCACATGGCAGACCCTTGGGTATTGGTCTCTGAAGAACAGGTGGAGGGCAGGTACCTGGGGCACCGCTAGGCATCTACTGTGAGGCCCACTGATGCTGAGCCTTCAGACTGCCATCCTAGGCTGGATGTTCCTGGGCTCTGCTCTCTAGAGTCTGGTTCCGGTGGTCCCGTGCTGTTCCGGTCCTGCATGACCCTTAGGGGCATGAGGTGACTGACCAAGCAGTGGAGTGTGGGTAGCAAGGCCCCATCCTAGAGGCTGTGGGGTGGAGCTTTTGGTAGAGCCTGCTTCTGAGACAGGGGACGCTTTTCCTGGGTCAAGGAGTCCCCAGAATTAAGTTGGGAATTTCAGATTTGGAGATGACATTAGAACACACTCCTAGACTCTAGCAAAAACCATTTCAGGTCCTCCTACCCTGCCAAGACCTGGGGTCTGGGGGGGGATGCTGGGGAGCACTTTGTCTTAAGGACCTGTCACAAGTCAAATGTTTGTCACATGTCGTGGAAACGTATCTTGACGTTTAGGACTTGGTCTTTGTGGAGCTCTGGGATTGAGTGAGGACCTCCAAGGGCAGACATTCCCCTTAAGGGACCAAGGAATCCCTCTGCAGAGCCACATGGTGGGGGCAGTGAGGGGGTGAGTCAGGCCCCCGTGCCCAGGGACGTCGTCCCATTGTCACCAGTGTCCTGTGACCCTGGCCCAGCCTCTATCTTTCCCTGGGTCCTGAGATTCTCACTGTGGGTTAGGGTTAGGGTTAGGGGCTTGCTGGGGATCTTCTAGCCTAAGAGCTTGAAACGCTAAGCTTTCTTGCCCTCTGGGGTACAGGGTTGGTTAGACCTGTTCCGTGTGTGGGTGCTGGCCTGTCCTTAGATGAATGAGACAGGGACTCAGAGGGACAGGTACTGGTATGAAGGAGGTTACTTGGAAGTTTTTAGCCTGTGGCCTGTAGCCTCAAGGTTCTTGCTGTTCTCACTCCTGCTTCCCCTGGGGTGGGAATAGGGAATGTGTTCCCAGCATGGCAGTGGAGCCTTCTTCCCCTGTTCTCCTGAGCGATCTGGGAGTCTAGAGGTCCTCAGAGGGTGCCATGACTTGACCTCGTCTGCCCAGTGGGATTCTCGTCATCCCGTCTGGACACCAAGTCCTGTGTCCAGAGCTAGGCCCTCCCTGGGCTCCCTCCTCGGGAAGGCCTGTCCCCTGCCCATCCTCCCAAAGGCTCGTGGACACATGAGGCACCAGACTCTGGGGCCTCTGGCAGAAGGGACAGAGGTAGCAGTGCCAGGAGGCCTCTTGTGGCATCTGAGCACCATTGGGCTTGAGGCAGGAGGTGACCTGGGTAAGGGAGATGAGCCTGGGTAGTGTGGTCAGTGGGGGTGAGGCTAGGTGAAAGGAGGGGCAGGCAGCCACTATCCCAGGTCAGCACTGGGGTCACTGTTTGGGGTCTGGGATGGGCTCTCCTTTGGCTTCTGGGGGCATGGAGGGGAGGCCTCATCCACCATGTGTGGCCTCCCTGACCTCCAGCCCTGGCAGAGGCAGCAGGGCTTTGGGGCTGGCTGCTCTGTGTGCTCTGCTGGTCACACCTGGTATCTGGCCCCCGGGAGCTACTGGGTATCTGCCTTGGACGAAGCAGAGCTGCCCCCTTCTTGGGTCCCATTTGGCTCTGCCCTGGGTAGGACCACTGTGGGACCAGCTCTGAGCTGCATCTGACCTGGTTCTGCCTGAGTCATCGGTGTACAGGGAAGCCTTAGGCTGGTGTTGTTTTGAGGGGGTGTTGAGAGTCAGGACCCAACGTGCCTCCATAGACATGTGGTCAGCCCTCTGGACCTCAGGTTTCCAAAGGTGTGTGCTCGCTGGGCGCCCAGGCCAGGCTTCCCTCCCTGCTTCCCTGGGTAGAGTTGGGGGGATGTCCTGGGGGTGGGTTCCTAGCTGGGGGCCCAAGGTTTAGGGGATGGGATCTCACATCCCTCCCTGTGGTGAAGGGCAGGGTGTCAGCACCATGAGAAGGGGCCCCTGGACCCTAGGGAGCCCTGGAGCCACTTCATTTTGGCCCAGAAGCAATGCTGAGAGTGTGGGCCAGGTGGGCTCAGCCCCTTCTCTACCAGCGTGAGGCCTAGCTCCCGTCACCCTCCTGGGGAGCTGGGCTCCAGCACCCTCCAGCTGGGAGGGACCTGGACCTGGGAAGAGCCTGGAGTTGAACAGAGGCTCAGGGTCTCTGGGGTGGGGTCCCAGGGCCTTGGGTCAGGGCTCTGCTCCTAGAGAAGTCCAGTCCCTTGAAGGCAAGGATGGAAAGCTGTGGAGCACTGGGCAGGCTGCTTGTCCTTTCTGGGCCCTCATCTGTGCAGGGGCTGTACCGTTTCTTCCCAGCTGGCCACCAGGGTCACAGGCCCGGGCTTAGTCAGTGGTGGCTTTTATCACAGCGGACCCAATCCTGAAGCTTTGGAGTGGTCAGGATGACCCTCCTGGGGAGGGGGGTCTGTGCAGCAGCCTGGGGGTCTGCTGGGCGTCTCATGCAGGAGGGATACAGCTTGGCTGGGTGAGGCTCTGGGGTGAATTTACTGGGAGCATGTGGGTCGGGGGCCAGGGCAACAGTGGGTGGGGTATAATACAAGGAGGGACTTCAGGGACCTCTCAGGACCAGGGAATGCAAGTGGGGGACCCTAGATCTTGTAGTCTTTGTTTTCAGACTTTGCTTTCATGGAGGGGATTTTTGAGAATTTAATATTCACAACATATTCTCGGGGGAAAAATGTAGCCATTTCCTGGCCAGACAGAGCTGGCCAAGTGGCTGGAATCCTCGCATTCCCAGCAGCAGGTGCAATCATAAATTGTTTGTTTTTCTCTGATAAACATGGTCTGTCTGGAGAGAAAGTGGGTGCCCAGACCAGGCAGCCTCAGGGACTGTCGCGAGGGCAGCATAGCTGGAGTGCTGAGGGGCTGCCCTGCCTGCCACACCCACTGGTCTGTGGTGGAGGGGAACACGCCTGTGGCCTGCTTGGGGGTCCAGGTCTCAGCCAATCTGGGGCCTGGCATCTGCTCTGTGGGGGAACTAGGGGAGGCCGGTGTTGACCACAGAGGCTGTGCCACTCAGACAAGTGCCTGACCCGAGCCTGGCCCCAGGGGCTCAAAGCCCACCTTCTCTGCTCCCCTGACCCTGTGTGGGGTTCGGGGGAGCACAGCCTCTCACCTGCTTGAGTTTATGGCTGGGGCTCCTCTACAGGGGAGGAGGTGCTGGGCTTGTGTCTGTTCCCAGGCAGATCTGGTTCTGATTCCTGGAAGCTGGGGGTGCAGAGGAGGGCTGGGGCATGGCGGGGTCCAGGCAGCCCCACTGTTCTCTTAGGACTTGCTGAGTTTCATCCCAGCCCCCCACCTCCAGACCTTAGAAAGAGAGGGTCACTGGACCCCCGTTCTCTACCTGGGGGTAAACAGCCCTTATGTTGATCTTAGAGACAGCGAGTGGGTCGTGCAGTATCCCCCCGGGACTAGGGGGGCTTGGCCTCCCTAAGGGGGCCCTGGAGCTGACCTTGGCCTGATGGCGTGTGTCAGTATTACACCTGCGGAGTGGCTCTGCAGCCACTCTGTCCCAGTCCTGAGTGGAGTGTCTATGTGGGGACTTCCTTTGTTTCCTGGGTGGGTATGGCCTACTCAGAGCCCGACAGGCTCCTCCCTCCTGGGCCCTGACCTGGGAAAGGGGTGGGTTGTGGGTGGGTGGGGATCCCAGCCCTCCCAACAGCAGTGAAACGGCCCCTTCCAGGCAGCAACCCTTTGGCAAGGCCTGTGCTCCTCCAAGCGGGCCACTGTCTCTTCCACCTCCTGAGGTAGGGACACTTCTGCTGACCTCTGACCCCGCCCCACACCCTGCACTCTGAGCTCATGCTTGGCCACTGTGTTCACACCTGTGGCAGCCACAGCGCTCACACCCGCTGGGCACCCGGCACCCTTTGCACCATGGGTTAACTATTAACGCCAAGGTGGCGTGCAGCAGGGTCCAGCCAGGCCTATTCCCAGTGCCCCAGGGAGGCTTGCCTGTGGGGTAGCCTCCCGGTGGGTGCAGGACTGACCTTCCGCCTAAAGTCCAGACCCGGAAGGCAGGTGGGAAAGGAAAATATTCTGCCTTCCTGACTGCCACAGAGCTGGCCACTGGGTGGGCACCCTCACCCTCAGGCTAGGGCTGGCTAGGAACCCCACCTCCAGGTTCTTGGGGATGCAGGGTGGCCTCCATGCCCTTTTGAGCCTGTGTCCCTGGTGCACAATGAAGAGTAAAGGGGCGACCTTGAGGGCCACTCTTGGGTATACAGATGGACACCTACTGTGTGCACAGCTCCATGGGGCTGGGAGGGAGCTGCTCTGGGTTATACACAGAGGGGCACCTACTGCCTGTACAGCTTGGTGGTGCTGGAGGGAGTCCTCATACAGGTGCCTACTGTGTACACGGTTCCATGGGGCTGGGAGAGGGAGTGTGCTCCCCAGTGTCCATTCCAGGTGGTGATGAGACAGGCTGGCAACTCGGGGAGAGGCCTCCACGCATGCTCTTGGGGCATCCACAGGAGAAGCTTGTTGTGCCTTGGTGTCTCTTCTGGCCCCGGAGGTGCTGGCCCTGGGTAGGACAGAATGCACACTGGCTTTGGGACTCTGAGGAGGATGGTGGTCAGACTGCCCCTCATCCACTCATTGGGAGGAGGTGAGGGACCTGGGACATGGTTGGCATCCTGGGCAGGTGCTCACTATGAACCTAGATTAAATGCCTAAGATATGCATCTGTAGGCTTGGGGTGGGGATTGTGTTCCATGACAGTGTGTGGTCCCAGGGCCCAGCTGGGGCTGTGGGGACCTAGAACTGTTGTCTCACAGGACTGCAGACCTTTTTTCTCGAGCACCTGGTGCTTGACCCCGGCTGAGGGTTCTGTCCTGCCTTTCTGGGGAGGGCACAGGTGGCTTTGGTCTGTGACAGGGGCTGATGTCCAGGATGGGCCCCTCCTTTGAAGAGGAGGCTTCCAGCTGAGGTCTGGGTTTCCGTGCTCTCTGCACCAAAAGCCGCAGCCCTGCAGCCTGCTCTCTGAGTCCACCTCATGTGGCCTTGTGATGGCTGGCTGTCCCTCACCCACACTGCTGAGAAGGCCAGGCTCCTCTGAGCCCCTAGAGCCCCAGGCCTGGCTGGGCCACCACCAGGTGGCTGTGGGTCAGCGCCATTCCTCTTGGACTATAGGTGGTGGGATAGGGTGGGGTGGGGAGGGCACCCTGAGCGTCAGCTGGCCCCAGCCATGCACAGTAGCAGCAAATCCTGGCCCTGGCACTGCCTAGTGCACGCAGGTGTAGAAACCACTGCTGTCTCCTGCCACCTGTGCTATGTGAATGCTCAGACTGCCAGGTACCTGCGAGCCTTTGGGTTTGTCCTAAACAAAAATGAGACCAAGCTTGTTTTTCACTTGCACGCCTGCCCTTGTAGAGGTCAGAGCTCAAGGTTGGGCTGTTCTAACCCCACTCACCCGCCCTGGGATGGGCCTTGCATTCCCAGCCTGAGCATGGTGCCTGAGTCCCCCCTTGGTGTTGGTGTTCACAGTGGCTTTGCTCTTGGCAGGTGGCCAAAGTGGAGTATGTCAGGAAGAAGCCAAAGTTGAAAGAGGTCCAGGTGAGGTTAGAGGAACACCTGGAGTGTGCATGTGCGACCTCCAGCCTGAATCCAGACCATCGGGAAGAGGAGACGGGTGAGTGGCTGCCCTCATCCTCACCAGTGCTGGGCATTCCTGGAAGCTGGGTCTGGGGGTTTGAAGTTGGCCCTGGTGTGGGATCTTCTGGGTAACAGCTTAATGGGTCCAGGCCTTGTTAGCAGCAGGGATGGGGTTCTGCCACCTCGAGACATCTGGGGAGGGTTCTGCCACCTGGAAAGCTGGCAAAAGAACAGGTTGTAGCTGGAGTGAGGGGCTGGGCCAGGTGAGGGGTGCAGAAGGGCTTGCCGAGTGGGCAGAGGAGCAGGCGGGCAGGTGGATGCTGGGCACTTGCTGTGGCCTTGCTGGTCAGGTCTTGAGCAGCAGTGGGTGCTTGCGGCCCCCAGGCTTGCCCAAGGGCAGAGGGACCCGGAAGTATCGGAGCCAGGGCGGGGCGAGTTTGCCCTCAAGATAAACACTCAGGTATTTATTGCTGCAGTCTGCTCCTGCCAGCCTCCCTGAGGCCACTCACCGCCCCTGCCTTTCACCAACAGGAAGGCGTAGGGAGTCAGGTAAAAAACGGAAAAGAAAACGGTTAAAACCCACCTAAAGTCGCCAACCAGGTAGGCCCTGCCACCCCGCCACGCTGGGAGTGCCGGGACCGCGAAGGCTAGGGGCGCCATCAACGATCACATCGGCAAATGATCAGCTTCCGCCCGGCGGGGTGGCCGGGGCCCTGATTGGCCTCGGGTCTGCCTGCTTCGGGTCTGCTGGGCTGTGGGTCTGTACCGCTCTGGACCCTCCTATGCACAGGAGCCATGGTCCACGCTCACTACGCTCGGATCCCCTCTTGCCACTCTGTTCTTTGTCGTTGATTGGGCCACTAGGCATCACACACAGTTAGGAGGGTTTGGGTCTGACATTCACTAGCCGGGGTCTTGGGGCAAGCCTCCCACTCCACTGACAGGCAAGGAAACCGGGCCTCAGCAGAGTGCAGAGGAGGACTGCAGAGTGTTAAGTGGATCTCTTCGCTCCCGTGTACCAGCCAGAGGGATACAGCTGATCTCTGTCCAGGATCCATCTGCAGAATTGCCTGGTGGCCCAAGGGGGCTGCTAAAGCTCCAGAAGTCACTGTGCTCTAGGCAGGAAGAAAGAGAAGGTGGGAAGAAAGATGCTTCCCGAGTCCCACCCAGTGGCTCTTGTTCTCTCATCTGCTGACCTGGGAAATGTAGGAAATGTTGCTACCCAGAGGAAAAGGGGAGATGAAGTTTCGGAGCCTGCCAGTCACAGGCCTGTCTGGCCAGCTCCTTCCTGTGCCACAGGGGACTCCGTGGCATCCAAGACAAATAGCTGCTCTAGACTTGAGGGGGCTTTTCAGAGACAGGGCGTCTGAGCCCTGGCTCCTGAGGTGGTGAGGTGGGGGAGGTGCTTAGGTCCCAGGAAGGACCCCGAGAGGAAAATGTCCCAGGGCTGTGGCGCGGTAGCGGGGATTAGTGTACCTGGTGTTCCACTGCCCCTGGTCAGGCCTCAGGCTCTGGCCCAGAGTGTTGGAATGGGCGGGAGAAGGGGCCTTACAGTACTTGCCCCACCAGCACTCATGGGTCCTGGGTTTGGTCCCTGGCATCACAAAAAACACAAAAATGAAAACAGTTCAGCCTAGTCTGCCTGGTCTGCCTGGTCACAGGGCCTGTGGCTGGTGGCATCTGTCTCATGGACCGAAATAGCTGCCAGAGCTCCAGAAGTCACATCCGGGCCCTGGGCTAGAAGGAAAGGAAGGTAGGGAGAAGGACAAAAGTACCTTCCCAGGCCTCAGTTTCCCCATCTGTACAATGGGAGCAGGGGGGCTTGCTTTCAGGACATATTCTGTGTGATGCTATGACCTGGTCACAGTTCTTTCTGAATAACACGGCAAGTTTGATTTTTAAAAATTTCCTGGCAAATTGAAATCCTGAGTCTTGCATGGCGTGTGGCCCTGATCAAGTCACCACATTGTCAGTGCTTCCCGTCTGCCGAGCTGTGCTCCTGGGGTCCTGGCTCTCAGCCTGTCTGTCACTCTCCCCGCAGATGTGAGGTGAGGATGACCCAGCAGCCCTCTCCTGGGACACGGATGTACATGGCGTGTTACATTCCTGAACCTACTATGTACGGTGCTTGATTGCCAGCGTGTGGTCTTTGTTCTCCTCCGTGAAAACTGTCCAAGAGCACCCTGGAGAACAAAGCCGACAGTGTGCATTTGTTCAGTGTGACATCAAAGCACGTATTGTAGCACTCCGAGAGACAGCAGAAGCCTCCTTGTCAGCGAGAGAGAAAACAAACCACAAAACATGACACAAACAAACTGGACTCACAACAAATATCTACGCGGCGGACAGAAGGGCTGCCCCGAGGGGTGGACGTGTGGCGGCTCAAGGGATGGATTTCTTCTGTCGGTGGCCACAGGTGCTCTTTGCCAAGGACGTGGAGTTGCAGACACTTGCGGGGCGCCAGGCTCTGCGGGACACGTGGGAATCGGGGTGACCCGGGCAGCTGTGCCTACACCTCGCTGTCGTGCTTGAGTCCATCGGGGCCTTCCCCAGACAGAGCCTTAAGTGGGTTTTTTGTTGTTGTTGTTGTTTTTTTGTTTTTTGTTTTTTTACACTGTAAAGTGATTAAGCTTTCCTTTTTACTCTTTGCCTAGCTTTTTTTTTTTCTTTTTAATTATCTCTTGGATGACATTTACTCCGATAACACACAGGCTGCTGTAACTGTCAGGACCGTGCCACAAGTGTGTTTCCTAGCAGGATGCAACTAATGAGATGTATTAAAATAAACATGGTATACCGACCTATGCATCATTTCCTAAATGTTTCTGGCTTTATATGTTCCTCCTGTACCCACTTATTTTTCAAATGAAGTGAGACCATATCCCCCCCGAGGTGCTGCCCGCTGTTCTTCCCCAAGGGTGGCTGTGTGGCTCTTGTGCCCCTCGGAGTGTCTGGACAGAACCTAAATTCTTTATTTTTGGTAAGCTGTTGTGCTTTATTTGTATTAACAGAAATGTGCATGTGTAGTTTCTTTGTGGGGTTTTTTTTGTTTGTTTTTGTTTTTTCTTCTGTAAAGGTGAAGTTTGTATTTTTATTGTTACCAGTTTTATATACATGAGAGCCTATTATTATTATTAATTTTTTGAACCAGAAGAAAAAAAATGCACGTGAAACACATTTGTGGTCACATTGTTCTCGTTGCTTACTGGAGTCTAACCCATCCCCTGGTCACAGGGTAGTTGCTGAGTGACAGTGGGGGAGAAGAGCTTTTGGGCTGGTAGCCCTGTCCTGCCCCCACTGAGCACCTGGAATGCCGTTGTCTTTGGGCTCCAGAACCGACCAGAGAACCCGTCAAGAGGGACTAGGCTGTCCTGCATCAGAGCAGCAAGGGGACAGTGGGAGGCCTCAAGCAGTGAGCTGATCTGCTATGCTATGACCCTGGAGCCCACGGCCTCTCAGCTCCCGTGACCCGCTGTCGCACCTTGGGTGACTGGCGTGGTGGCTACGTCTCTGGTGCATGAGCTCGTGGACATGTGTTATAAGGAACATCTTCAGTGGCTCGCTCTGCAGCTTTTGGGCTCTGGTTGAATGCTTTTCCAGTGGTCGAAGTGGCCTGAAGACTGGAGAGGATGTGCTGAAGGCCAGGCTGGCCGTGTACCCCGGCTCCTTCACCATAGGCGGATGCCCGTTATACCTGGGACCTGAGAGGTCCTGCTGGGGCCCATGACATCTCTGCGCTGCACCGCTTAGGACGCCATGCCTGCGGGATGTGCTTCTGATGTACTAGGTGCATGCACATTCCTTTATGTGTGCTTGAGATGCCAGCTCACTGTGTGGCTTTTATGTGCAGACTGTCTGGTGAGACACCTGTCCTTTAAAGCCTGTGGGACAGGAGTCCCAACCGAGAAGCTGGAGCTGGTGCTGTTGCTGCTGAGGAAATTAGAGGCCTGGGGACAGTCCCACAGTGAGGGCCACTGTGCTCAGCCCTGCCTCTTCCCCCAGGTCAGGGTGGAGATGGCCGCAGGGAGAGGCCAGGTCTGGCTGGATTGGGCTGAGCTGCCCCCCCTCCCTGCCCCAGTCCTTGGTTGGGTCTGCCCTGCATTCCTGGGATTCCAGCTCCTGCAGTGGCCCCCTGGGTGTGACCTGCAAGACAGCTCTGCTCACTTTTGGCTCTTTCATCCCCTCTGCCCTGGGACCTTGGGCCAGGGGGCTCTCCATCCACACCTCCACCTATGCATCTGCAAGGTGAGGCCATCCCCCAGCACCTTGTGAGGACCATATGCTACTGGTGCCTTTGGGCTCCTGAGACAGGTGTCTGCACCTGCACTGGGACCTTGAATGCAAGTCACAACAGCCTCTTTGAGAGCAACGAGCCCTGGCTGCAGGGTGCGTGGGCAGCAGTGGAGCCTTCTGTGTCGACAAGGTTCCCATCACTTCCTGGAGATGAGCTCACCTGGCCACTCCATTTTCACTTCATGTCCCTCAGGCCTCGGTGTCCTGGCTGGTGCAATGGGTAGGACCAGGCCGGTCCCGGTTCTGCATGCTGCCTAGATCCCCATGGTAGGTGGGCCTGGAGCCAGTTCAGCTGATCTTTTGCCTGGATCCTCTCTGTGGAGCAGGCACTCTGCCTCAGCAACCTGGAGTCCCCACTGGATCCGAGGCACTGCCAGCTTCTATTTTCTTGTCTGTAGGAAATGTGGGGCCTGAGTATGGCCCCCAGGGCCGTGAGTCCATTCCTGCTTGGGCTCAGTTTTCTCTAGGGCTTCCAGGGATGGGAATTTGACCTACTGGAGAGTAGCTCTGTTTTAAGGATGGAGTTATGTCCCTGAGCAGACAGTCTCAGGGACACAGTTCTGGGGGTGTGCCAGAGGGAATTGTGCTGAGGTCAGGTGTGTCTAGAGCCCTTCCGGACCTCACTCCCCTTGTCCCAGGTGTGAGCAAGAAGGAGGATGCCTGGTGTAATATCGAGGCTTTGGCAGCTCTGGTGTAATATTGAGGCTCTCCCTGTGGGGTCTTGGGGAGGTACTGGAGGCTGAGCCCAGGACAGAGACCCTCATTGTTAACTTACAACCACATGGGCTGCTTTCAGAGACTGGCTAGGCTCTGGGTCTCTCCATGGGATGGATCAAGAATCACCCTGGAATGGTCCCCAAAGAGCACAGGGAGAGGCAGGATTTGGCTCCAGGCTCACAGCAAACAGGACCCCAGTGCACCCATCCCCGAAGTGGGGAGGTACTGTCTGCCTGGGTCACAGCTGAGGTGTCCACTGTCAGTCCTGCCCCAGGTAGACTGATGGCTGTGCCCTGAGCCCAACAAGCCCCAGTCCCCAGAACACAGCTGAGGCCAGCGTGCAGCTGAGGGGTCAGGTGTACAGCAATGTGTGTGTGTAGGGGGGTTTCTTCCCCTTTGAGGTAAGGAGATCATGAGGGGTCACAGGGTCCTGGGCAGCTCCCAGGACAACCACAGCCACCACAGTGATGCCCAAGTTGGGGGCTTCCGGGCACAGCAACCTAGAAGCCAGCCTGTCACTGTTTTGGTCCAGCTGACCCTGGCTGAAGCCAGGCGATCTGAAATGTGCCCAGCCCCAGGCCTGGGATAGAAGCACAGCTCTCAGTTCTGGGAATGGTGATGAACTAAGACTGCTTGGTTCCCGAGTGCTGCCCCAGGGTGCTCCGCCCTGGGTGTCAGACCTAGCTGTAGATCAGGAGTTGGCTCTGACATGAAGTTTAAAATAATTAAAAAAATATATATATTGTTGATTTGATTTAAACTTGAAGTGAGCATGGAGTGGGGTTGTCAGGAGGTGGTGCCCTGTGACAATTTGCGCTGTGTGGACCCTTCCATGGCTGTCTAGCACCCTCCAGACTACGTGGGATATTGTCCCTCACACATGCACGTCGTAGGGGTCTTAGAACTCTACCTGGGTCCCAGGTGCCTAAGCAGCTAAGTGCTATAGTGCGTGAAGCCTCAGTTTCCCCTCTGTAAACAGGAGAGGGTGGTTTGCAGGCTGGTGGGACCCTGTGAACCACCTTGGGGCGGTGGGGGCTGATAGGCCTCCTCCAACCTCCCCTCACCTGGCCATGTGGCCTCTCTCCCTACAGACTCCATGTCCACTTCAGACCCTGGTCTAACACCCGACCCCCCATATTCTCGGGCTGTCAGTTGGAGTAAAAAGCCAGTCACATGTGCAGAAGGGTCTGGGGTCGCATCAGCTTCCTGCCCAAGGGCCCTGGAAGGTGAGGGAGGGCCAGGCCTCACTCAGTCCCTCAGTGCACTCCATGGTGTCTTGCAGAGCCTGGGAGGTATGGAGCTCATTGGAGGTGGATCCCACAAACAAGCTGGGTTGGGCCGGGAAACTGAGTCAGTCCTGCATGGGCTATATCCTGTGGGCCCTGAGATGCCTCAGGATGCCTCTCAGACTATGCCTACAGAGCGCAAGGGCTGTATTTATGTACCACCTGTCCTGCAGGCTGAGGTCTCTGCACCTGGCTCAGGCATGTGTGTGCCTGGGGCCATGAAGCCGTCCTGGGCCAGCAGAAGCAGCACGCTGGGGACCCCTGTAGTGGTGGGGTGCTGTTGGCACAAGGCTGAGATGTAAAGTGGGAGGGAGCAGGGCCTAGGAACTGAACAGAGGGGGCCCCAGGCCTGGCCTACTGAGCTTTTACACTGTCAAGGCCATGGCTCCTCACCTGTGTGTCACCTACCTGCTCCAAAGAGAAGCCCCAGCCTCGCCCTTCCTCACACCTGCTTCTGAGCTGCCCCGGCTCCCACCTGTCCCTCCCGGGCTGCCTCCTGGTACCCAGCCATGGAGGCTGTCAGTGGGGCAGGGGCTGCAGTCCAGAGTGGGCAAGGTGCAGCATGCAGGGCTGGATGGCAGTGCCCTGGGCCCACTGGCCGGACTCATATAGAACCTGTTTGCAGTCACCAAGGGCAGCTCACTAGGAGCTCCACCCTGACCCTGGGCTCCTCAGTGACGCTGCCCCAGATGAGCAGGACCAGCAGGATCTCGAGTGGCCCGGCCTGGAGCGTGAGCCAGCAGTGCCCAGGTCTGGGGTCAGTCTGGCTGAGGACAGCCTTACCCCATCCCGTGCTGCTGAGTGTGGGCCTAGAGCGAGACCTTGGTTGACCCCACTGTGACCGTGGACAGGGCACCGTCCTCATCAGCGGTGTACCTAAGGGGCTTGTTCCAGAGTGGATTCTGAGAGGGGTAATGGGGTCCCACGACCGCAAGGGAGGATGGTGAGGTGGGTCCAAGTCCAGCCTGCACTCTGCCTTGTACACCGGGTTCCCGATGAGAGAGGACTCACTGGAGCCTCCTTGCTACAGCACAGACGCGAAGGCAGGATCCTGGCCTGGCGGCCTCTGGACGTGGACTTCCAGAAGCTTTCTAGCTTGGCCTCTACAGGACAGATATCCTGGTCCTTTGTACGCCACCAGCTTTGAGACCCTTGGGGCAAGACTGGGCTCGGAGCCTTTTCTGTTTTCTGGGTCCCCAGCATCACCAGAAGAGACCCTGGCTCTGAGGAGGCTGCAGGCTGTTTGCTGAGAGCCAGATCCCCGTCCTGGGCTCCCAAGGCCCTCGGCATCCTGGCTGCTCTGGTTCACCCCAATGGGAGCCAGGGCCAGTCTCATCTTGGAGGTGGCCACAGAGTGCAGGAGCAGCCACCAGCCCCACCCCCACAGCCGAAGTTCTCCCCTCCCGGCAGCACTCAGACGAAGAACGCGTGGTTGCTGCAGAATAAAACGGTGACTGTTTCCAACCAGGCCTTTGAGCTGCCAGAATATGTGGAGTATTCATTATCTGGCCCCCGGCCTGCCAATTCGCGGGCAGTGTTCCTTGGAGGGCTGACCCAAGGGCTGCCCTGCCACGCACCTGGCATCCTTCCTACAGTGCCTGCCTTGGAGTAGTGGAAGTGATGGCTCTGCCCCTTTTGGTTCCTGAGCAGAAGCCAGCAGCCCCAGCCCTGGGTGTGAAGCTCTACGGAGTCTTGAGCTTGGCTAGCCAAAGGCCCTTTACCCTCCAGGGTGCAGGACAGACACACATATTCCTTCCTCACCAGGATCCTCCCAAGCTGTCCAAGGCAGGGTCAGGAAGCATCGTGGGCTTGACCTCAAGGTGGGAGCAACAGGACAGAGCCCGGGGGTGGGGTGCATATCTGCCACCCGTTTACCTTACC